AGCAATCTAAGGGGACTGGTCGGATCCACGCATTCGCGCATATTACGTGGAAATATCGTGGCCCTTTCGTGGGGTCGCTTGTACATCGTAGTTATTAACGAACGATAATATCGGCCGGTCATATCTGCTACAAGCTTTCTCGCTTTACCATTATCGCGGCATCATCTGCGGGTTGGCAAACAACCGCGGGACCAAATTCGATGCATTAATTATATTCTTTCGAATAATTTAAACGGAGGATCGTTAAAGCGACGCTGATATATTTTATGAATGCTCGGCTGACCGCGAGGGGGTTGAAACGAAATTTATGTTTGCAATGATGTCGTGACCCGGAGAAAGTTGATTAGCGTCGCAACGCAAATTAAGCGTGCGGGGGTTACGAACGCCTCGGTAACTCCGGAACTGATATATCGCTAACAGTATCGTAAACTGGTATTTCCCCCCTTTTTTTTTATTACAGATGTATAGGGTTGTCTACGGAACTGAAACAAGTCGTTTCTTTTGTCTGATTGCTATTATAAAATAATGGAGACGATTACGTTGCAATGGTTTATGTCGCATCACTTAGATATTTATTATTATAAAGTTTTATTCTCCTCAACGTCTATTTGTAATTTTTTTGTTTACATGTACAAACGACAAACAAAAATGATGTCCTGTATAAAGTGTTACAGGATGTTTGGGTAGAAAGTAACGAAGTTAGTGACTTTATTGCCTTTATTTTATTACAATTAAATGACATAGGGGATGTTTTAGTGTCCAATAAAATTTTGTAGGGTTACTGTTAGGGAGGAAGAAGAGGGAAATAAAGGTTCAAGTAAATGCTATTCAGTTTAATATGATCTATCCAAACAACAACAAATTAGCAGAACCTTCACATACTATCCCTATCGTGGCTAGATCTTATTTCATGAGCATTCATTTTTGGGTTACACGTGTCAAGATCCATTTCCAAATTACAATGACACACGCGATCTGGTGTTGCAACCACGCGGAAACTATGATAGAAGCTTGTCGAGAGAGAGAGAAGGAATGCGTTTAGCGCCCCAAACTCCCCACAAATGGCAAGAATTAATGGACTCATATGCACAACATTCTGCAACAGTACACAACGCTTCCGTACGCTACATCGTACAACACTGTAGTTGATTGTAATAACGCTGAGCATCCTGCAATCTCGTTATGAAACAACGTAGTATGCTTTAGTGATGAAATTGAAAATTGAAATAGATCAGTTGCATAAAGGATGTTTCAATCGAGTGAAATGTAATTATTTCGTCATATTATACTCCACTTCTATCGTTAGTCGGCTTTGTTTTAAAACAAATTAAATTTGATTCGTTAACACATATTGGTTTTCGAGAATACGTAGCCAGATAGCCTATACTTGAAGTAGCAACTTTATCGTTCTTTGTCACGTGGTTTATTATACAGAGTGGGACAATAACTTTCTCTACTTTGAATATCTTCATTATTTACCAGTTACAGTAACTTCCACATATAACACTTAATTTTAAAATATCGTTAACAACACTGATATATTCAAGGGTAACCCCCTCGCCCCGTGCGTATACACAAGCATTGAAAATAGTAAACGTATGTTAATTATTAACTTACATTTTTATTAAATAGATGAGCACGAATAACAGAAAATTGGTGAATATTGCACAGTTAGTAGTTAAAGATAAACCAATATATTAATCAATTAACATTTACAGAAACTGGAAACAGATACGAAATTTGTCTGGTATGAAGTGCTTCTTTAAACGGAGTGCTACTTTTTTTAATGTATATAATACCAGCCGTTGTTGAATCAATTTTAGAATGCAAGGTTATTCCAGGTCACCATACTACATCCATTTGAATCAATCACTTGCCAAATTAGACGATAATATTTAATAATAAAATTACTGGTATTGTTATATTCATAGTAACATTAATTAATGGACACTCTGTTCACCTAAAATACTTCTGTTGACTTTAATCGTATTATAACATTAGCAGTTATTCTTGGAATACCATTTCTTAAAATGGAACTGACAGTTTCTGATAAAAATATTTAATATGAAAATAATGAATTTTTAAAATAAAAAAATTTATGTGTATATGCACAGGGTAGTACGTTTAATATTAAAATTGAGAGCACAAATTTTGCAGGAATTTTTTTGTACGTATTTGTAAGGTATTCAGGGCTGCGTATCTTGCATTTGCAAAATTATTGAACTAAGGACTGCTTTAATACATAAGTATGGTTACGAACGACATTTATCGTATTCATTTTAATTATAGACAGCGAACGTTGTAATTTTCTACATCGACATATTATATTGTCTTAACATTAGCAGAATTTTCCTATCATCCAGATTTCATATGGAACCTCTGTTATATCAATTAAAGTTCTCCACTGAAACTCATAGCATGAAATATGTCTAAAATAAACTGTGCGGACTGCATTTTCTCGTGATAGTTGATTTAAAAGAATATAAGAACTGTTATGCTCCCATGTCGTTTAAAAACCTGGCACTGATAGGTGGAGTAAGATCAACTCGAATCGAAATGGTTCTGCAACAGTCTCTTTTAATTGAAATTAAGTTTCTCCGTAGCATGCATCATTTGGTCTCGTTCACTGCTTCCTTCGAAGTTTGGAAATTCTATTTCCAATCTACAAAAGAAGAAAATGTTGTGTTGATTATGACTACATTTGTATCAATCCTCAATAAAGCTGTGCAAAAATATTCTGGTTTATATTTGGATGATCCTCGTAGCATTCACCTATTTTTACGGTAATAACAACATTCCTACTTCATGTATCATTAATCTTATATAAAAAATATAAAACACTTTTGTGAATCGAACCGCGTATTGTACACGGAGGCCAACAAGACGGCAATTTTCTCGACCCTTCGAGGGTATGTCACCCTTAACGCGCGGAATCTCGGCACGCTGGGATCAGGATAACCGATAGCTGACACGATTTAATTAAGATTAGAGCAGTCCAAGGCAAAGAAGTCGGCCAGGTTTGATGGAAATATCGGAAAATATGAGGATTATGTCAGCCACGGCTTCGTCACCGTCTATGTATTCCGCCCCATTAGCTGGCAGTCGTTACGGACATCGCATAATACTAACTGGGCGTTCTTAAGATCGCGATGCAAATACCGCGGTGATAATTAAACACAGCCAGGCTGATGAAACGTAGCCAGGAAAAGAAACGTGTTTCGCGGGAATGTTCCGGTCAACGAAGAGAAACAGCGCGGGTAGCATTTTGAACCTTTAATCATCACGAGCCCGCTTCCAGGGAACGGAGAGCCGCGAGCGGTTGCGAAAAAGATAAATTCACTGCTCTGGGATGAAACTGGCAGCCCACGCGAATACGTAATATCATGTTTTATAAACCCTTTAATTGCCACGTTCGGACACGTACATCCGGCGTAACGTGGCGTCTGTTTTATTTATGCATACGTATTCGCTGTCACGTCCCCAGGGCCGTGCGAAATTGCGATGATTAAAATGTACTTGCTCGGCGCCACCGTTTCGCGTTCTCTTTTCCGTCGTTAGTTCTTTCTTCCGTGTTTTATTAATCTAGAAGGAGGGCACTGCACGCGCCGCGGTAACGAATAGAAGGCTTTCGGTATTTGTTTAATTAAATTCTCTTGAAATGAAGAAGGATACTCAAAAATTGGCATTTTTGAACCTGCTCGGACGAATGAAAAGTTTGTGCTGGATAGTTCACAGTATCACCCAAAGAGCAAAAGAAAATTCCACAGAATCTTACCAGAAGATTTTGAAAGAAAAAAAAAAAGAAAGGAAACGGAAAGAACACATCTCTGAAACAAAAACAACTAAAACCAACTCTAAATCTATATATAAATTATAAAATACATAAATGTATATATTCTTTAGTATTCATCCTATGCTCTTTCTTCCTCTCACATTCACTCTTTCCGTCCCTCTAATTCATTCTATTGACTCTTTACTCTCATTCCTACCTTCCGTATACAAATAAGGGACTATCGTATCATGAAACATAAATAAATACCTTGTGTTTCTATGCGAAAAATATTTTTTTCAAAATATTAAATATATTTTTCCGTTTCAATATACACAATTTACTTTTATTAAAATATATCGCTTGTATGCGACACACGTGCTGCAAAACGAACTTCTGATTTATAGCCTAGCGTTTCATATACACGCCTCGTTTTAGAAATTGGTTATTCTTCTTATTTGGAGTGCCACCAATTGGAAACTTTTATAAAGGCACAGCACTTACTGCTCTCACACATTTTCGTAATATATCAATACACACATTCTATACCTACATATATTTTTGTAATACTCGAAAAATGATTGTGGCAACAACGCTGACCGTTACCACGCAACTCCTCTACGTTCTGTTTCAAATTTTAATGAATTGTATTTCGGTAACAGCGCGATCAATAATTGTTATTCTTTTTTTAAGTGGTTTATAATTTCGGTTTGTATAATGTCAAATTTTCAGCAAGTTCCTAAATTGTTCACGCAATAATTCACGTGAAAATCTGTATATTTTATCGGAAGCTGTTAAAATTACAAAATTTTGACATCGTTTGTCATAAAAGTGGTGCGATCAATTTAAATCGAAATAGGTTTATATAATTTATATTTAATCAAAGAGCAGTCAAGTGAAGTTTTGTTAGGATCCTCCATCAATAAATCCATAAATAAATCTACGGAACAACTACCTTAAAGAAACTCTTTTGTTTAGGCTCTAGAAGCGACAGATCACTTAACTCGATTGATACTCGATATAATTCAAATTGATTTGAATGTTCTCCGCAATAAACACTCTTGTCAGTAACCCTCGTCGTCGATCAAAGCAGGCATCTCTTGACGAGATTATCGCAAACCTGCACTTTGGCTTTGTATCTTGACGAGGAGGATGCAGACGTTACCTTCGAAGACAGTCTGCCACAATAGTTTACAACGTTATACATATAATTAATTCTCTGTTGTTCCAGTCGGTGCCATGTACGTGTGCATGCTATATGCTATCCTGTTCCTGAAGCTCTGGTCGTACGTGCAGGTGAACATGTGGTGTCGGCTGTGCAGCCGAATAAAGTCATCGAGCCAAAGCAGAATGCGACGGCAATCTTTGTCGTACAACAATCTCCAATGTAAGTAGACAATACACGTGCAACGTTGCATTTATTGTTGCATTTATTTTTACTTGTACTTGAAATATTTTGTAATGATCGAAGAAAAAGTCTACTCTTTTGGGAGCATTTTCTCAAAGTGTTTCCTCAAACTATCAAATATATTTCTTACATAAAAACATAACATTAAAGCACATTATTGTGTAAACATATATCTAAAGTTCACAAAAGAATTAATAAATTTAATTAATCTAATTTCTTTGAAACGAATTCTTAACATATTTTTCACGGAAAAATTCGACTGTCTACCCCCTTAATTGATTTATTCCTGATTCAATAACCATTTTCGCTATTGAATGTATACAAGATCAGCTTGCTAAAAATATTTCCATGAAGGCCCCGTGTATTTTAGTCCGGAGTGGCTGGACTAAGAGGACATTTCGCACCAGTTTATCGTCGTATAATAACGCACGGTGAACGCATCCGTTTCGATCGACGACATCAATTTATCGTTGCGAATGCACGGGAAAACGTTATTTTCCACTGCATGTAACGAGCGCCCGAGTATTTTCGATACACGTATTACGCATTCCCTTTACATCGTTCTGTGCTTTAACGCAGCGTCCTCTAATTTAGCACGAATCCTGAAAAACGTCACCCAGGGACGACTACGCGTTATTTCCGTTGCGTTCTATGATGTCGCTTCGCGCGGGATGGGTTTTGCGAATATTTTCGGCGAACAATCGTTATCCGTTCACCGCATTTAACAATGAAATAATGCTGTGTTTCCAGCTGTAGAAGATTGATAGAAATCTCCCATTAGAAGATTATTATCATTGGATTATATTCATTGGAGAATAAAAATGTCGTGGTGTATTATTTTTACTCTGCGACTTGAGAAGAGACTTATGATCGTCGCGATAACTTGCAGATGCTTGCAAATACTTAAATATAAGTAGTTAATCTAATGAACAAAGTGATCAGTATTTTAGTTTATTGGGAACCCTTTATCAAAGCATATATATTAGAACAAAAAAATCTCAATAGTATCAATAGTTTCAATAGTATCGTCGTAATAAATTCTAGGTATTGGTATTTTTTCCAGCTCGAGAGGTGGCGTTCTTCTTTAACTTTGTGCGTTCCTATGTCGAGTGCTGCTCAACAAAAGTGTACTGAAATCAGAAAATTTCCAAAGGGTTAAGATGGTAGAGTATTTATGGTGTTATGATCGGAGGAAAGTCGTATTCCCTGATTGATCTTTCCTCAAGTGGCTCGTACAGCCCTCGAGGCTCCTTTAAAGCGGCTCGAAGGAACCAGAAGTGTTATGTAACAGATTTCCACTGCACGAAAGAGGGCCATAACGCGTCAGAATGATACATGCGGTCCTCACGGCGCTACATGTTTCTAGACGGTAGTGTATGGAAGTGACTGGGAGCAGACTGGGAAAGTTTAATATTCAATGCGGTGAGTTTATTGGGGAAAGGTCGCTCGTATAATTTGACTTCGCCAGGTCTGAATAATCGATACACGGACATCCCCGCGTGCCCAATATCCGGAAATAGAGGCGAGGCTGATCGGGAGTTTAAATTGGGTGGAAATTATTCGCCTCTTCTGTTGCAGCTACGTTGCGCGCGACAGGGGTAGGTGGGTGGGAGAGGGTTAGCACACGCGTCGCGGCCAGCCGCGACACTGTGTATGCACCTTCAGGAGCGAACAAATACCTCGGACACAGGCAAGTGGATTACCGGCTCAAAGGACGTGTGTACATTGCGAGCAGGTACACGCGTGTCAGAGGCCGCCGTGCGTGACGAATATTTACGGTTTGTCTTCTTGTCCTGCTGAATAAATTTATTAAACATCCCCTGCCTCGAGGCGAATCGTTATGGATCTCGGTACTTGGAAATTGTTTTTATACGTACGTGTCATACATGTTTAGGTAATTGTAAACATGCGTGTACAGCACATTAAACCTTTGATAACGAAGGGCGTATACATACACCCTCGAGAATTGGGCTCAGAGAAATGTTTATATTCGTTAAATCAATTTTTAAAAAATATCAGTTTATATGGGATGATGGAACGAAACTTTTTTATATTTACAGTTTATTCATAGGATGCGTGGTTTCGAAAATAAGAATTGGAAAGTTGGGAGTTCGTTGGAAAAATTGAATTTCAGGAAAAAGGTCTCCCAAGTTTTCAATTTTTATCTCTGAGACTAAACGGTAAATTTCCACCACTGCAAATGTAACGACATAAAAATGTCCGACACACTTGAAACATTTCCCAAGCGTTAGAACGTTACATAAGCGGCCGTAGAATAGTAAACTCGCGTTCCGTACAGCATGGGCGCTTTTAGTTTGAAACTCGACGTAGTCAAAGGGTTTAAATATAAGCTTTGAGAGCGTATGCAAAATTAATCGCATACAACGAGCCAATTAAGTTACATTTAGACCAAACTGTCAGAAACAGTTATTGAATATTTAGATGGGTTCAACAAAGTCAATAATCGATTTCCAAACCTCTAAAGTAGACTTTCCCAAACTGTGATCCCTGGCTCGTCAGGGTGGACTGCTTGAAATTCTCGGCTATTGAACGATGTCTTCTGATTTTCTCGAAAATTTGCAGTTTTTTCTCTCTTTATTTGATTTTTAAGATGCCAATTAGTCAGATTATATGTCTAATTTTTATATCGATAAAAAGGCTTGCAAGTGTAAAGTGCAAAGATCAACACTTTGCAGTCTTAAAAGCAAGCATTGATTTATTTTAAACGTTTCGACATTAACTTAAACATTTCTAAATATGATTCACTTCACCAAAAAAATATGGACATATCTCAAAGTATTCTATGGAAAATCAAAGGTTTGGGGACAGTCTGTATGTAGACGCGCGTATGGAGTCGCGCAGCTACCATCGCTGTTTGCAAATTCGGCTCGAGTCCATTTCGTCGTATCAGTGGCGGCCCCCTTCCATCGTTTCCTCAGTTCTTGTTCACGGCCGTGGCTCGTTAATCAATGCCAAGATAATACGGGAGGAAGACATAATGGGGTATGCATGCGAATGGTGCATCGCGAAGCTGATACCTTTCCCGGAAGTCCGTGGAGCAGATGTTGAGGGATGGTCGAACCGTAAGTATCGCGAGGAGGGATAATGTAGTCATTCGTACGTTCGAGATCCTTCTCATTGACCGAAACGTGCCATGATGTTCCACCGTTGAATATACAATTTGTTCTTAAATCAGAGGTAAGACGAAGACACCGAACCTGACGTCAGTTGCGCGTGGAATAACTAAATGATGATTGCTAATTTGCGGTGTGCCGGGTGAAAATTAAATTTGGTTGTCCTTAAGCTATATAACACACACATTCCCATAGATTTACCCATATTTTCATTTGCCATCATTGTATAAACATTCACAGTCTAATAATTAATGTACACTACAGACCATTAATTTCGATACACCACTACGCCTGTAATTATTCCGAAGAAAGACGAACGTAATTAATCCTTGGACATACAAATAAAACGGAACTTGTAAACTCCAAAACATAGTACAGTCAAGTAGGGTATAGTTTAAACTGTCCTATGTTAAATTAATACATGAAATAGTATTTCAAATTTATTACTCCAGCCAACAACTTATTCGTCTAAAACCTTTTAGTAAAACCCATAGCATTACTCTAATAAATGTCCAATTTGACATAGAATGACCGCACGGCGCATAAGGTCGTTAAGTAAAAAAAAATTATAAAAAAATGAAAAAAAATGAAAAAAATGAAAAAAAAATGAAATAAAATAAAATAAATAAATTTCGTGCTCTCGAGCGATCCGTTCCGTCGCTCTCCGATCGCGCGGCAACACCGTGACGGAGTATAATAAAAAGCACCACGGGGTAATACGATTATCGAAATTCGATGGGACGCTTCGGTTGCCCGCGCGGGGATGCACGCGCTCGCGATCGATCTCGTTTGATCGATTCGGTCGATCGACGAGCGGCACGCTCGCTAGTCGTTTCCCTAGCCGAAGCCACGAGCGCGTGTAATCCTCTCCATTCCGTTATGCTGTGTAATTTTCGTCCTCCTCCTCCCCTCCCTTCACCCAGCTCTCCTTCAGCGACCGCCGGAGTACATCGTATTATTGCGTTTCTTATGACGATGTTGACTTCTATCGATACTCTTTTCGCTGCTATGTTTTGAGACTGATGTGTCGTGTGCGCCTAAATTCGGATAATAATTGCGTAGGTCAAAAGCTGGACAACTTACTATGAGCACGACACTGGCAGTAGTATGCCCCGTAGAACTTCCAGCAAAAATCGTTTCGCGGCCAAAGGGTTAATTAAATTGGCAAAAATAAACAAATTTACATAGAGTGCTATTTTGTTGTTGTCTTATGAAATATAGCAGGACACTAATTTCTTTCGATCAGCGTTCTTGGTGCCCGTTAGTCCTACAGTCAGAAGCGCGTGTAATCATCCTCAGACTTTTCTTTCTTTCTTTATTCAGTGATTACCTATTGGAATAATTGTAACCCATACTTTTATGCCATATAATTTTCACCAGCCTCGTTTTGGTACCACGGATGCACGCCGAATTATTGGGTTACCTATTTATAACAACGACGTTGACTTCTCTCGGCACGAAGGTAGCGCATACGCTATCTGCTGTGAGCGTTCCCTTTCCGTGGAAGCTTTTTGTCCTTTCCGTGTCGGGACCGCGCGATCGATCCACGGGTAAATCGAGTTCGACGACCGGAGTATTTCGCGTAACTTTCAATAAGCAATCTCCTTTAATGTCTCTCTTAGCCCGCGCAAAGGAAGAAAGTCCCTTCGGCCGCGGGGCAAGCACGAACCAACCGATCGACTCGAGAACGAGCGCTTGGGCAAAAGTAAAGCTGGAACGGGCCAGCTATTGGGCAGACGTGACGCGCGCGGTTATGGTTCTCGCGTGCCACCATCCCGTTCGAGTCAATAACGTTCCTTGCGAGAACGTTTTACAGTTTCACCAGGTGATACTCTTCCGTTGCTTTTATCGAAGTTCGACTGTCGCGTGCGCGCCGATTCCCGTAAGATGCTCGCGTTTCGAGCATTGCAAGATTTGGATATCGTTATCGTGGTTACGGATCTTTGAAATTTTGTCAAATTCAACCCTTTGAGTTAGATCTTTTCAATTGAAATCAGAATGTAATTTAAAAACTTGCTGAAAATTATTTGTCCTACGTACAAACAAACAAAGAAGCAAACCGTCTCTTTATAATATTAGTATAGATATAGATTGTGAAGTTTGCTCGTCAAACATTATGTTTTGACCAAACGCTTTCGATTTCGGGTACGTCTCACGAAGGTTCCAATTTCGTCACTCGACGGCCGAAATTACTGTACCGAAAATTTATCATACATATGCGAACTCGTAAACCTGTCGCGTTGTTAATATTCGTATTTGCCTAGCTCGGCTCGTAGTCGCCCTGGCATTCCTCAAAATCCCCATCGTTTACGGTTTCAAATATTAGTATGATGTTAAATGCGGTGTCATATATCATGCCCGCGTAGAGAAAGAGAGAGAGGGAGAAAGATGGAGGGTCTAATGCTACTGTCGGACGAATTTCCCATCTAATTTATTACTCCGTTGACGTCCAACCTTTCATGCTCCAAGTTCGCGGAAGCACCAACGCGTCTGAAATCTTCTTACGTGACGGTATCACGAGCACCGCAGCTCTGCCAGAGAGTAGGAACCCGACAAGTTCGCACCCCTCTACCTCGCTCATCCTTTCGCTCGGAAGATAGTTTCGAGATGGATACGACGGGATCGGGAGGCTTTGGTTCGTGGGAGTAATTTATATTTTTTCAATCTCGTCGGTGGTTTCTGCGAAGAGGTCTCATTTCGACTAGTCATTTCGCCTTTGTGCCATGAAACGCTTGTACACAGGGTAAATTAGATAGAGAAACTGTTGCATATTTGAGGGACAGTTGGGCAAATATTTAACATTTATTTAATTAGAACCGCTCAACCCTTTGTCTGGAGTTTACCAGTAACTTGAGACTCTTTGTCACGTATTTGGTGTATTCCTTCCAGGTAACTTAAAGTAATTTTACATCAACATTTTATGTATATTTACGTGTCAAATAAGACAATTTTTTAAATAATAATATTACTTTAGTTTTAATTTTTTTATTTTTAAAAGTGAACCAAGTGGTCCATTCGGACAATCCAACCCAACGAAGACGACTGCAACTTTGGAACGCGATCAAATTAATCCCTTCCTTTTTAATTGCTATGTGTTCTCGAATGACAACTGAAGTTGCACCCACACGTGATGATTCACACAAAGGAAGATGATTCCTCGAAGAACGACGAAAGCTAGGTGGGCAAAGATGCAGCGAGTGGATCGCAAAGCGAATGGGAAATCTCACAAATTAAGCTTGAGCTGTACAAGAGGACGAAGCTTTCCGATAGGATTGGCTGCAATCTTCGACAAGGCAATCCGGGAGACTCGTAAATTTCCTGAAACAGCGCGAACCGAGCCTAACAGACCCCGAACTGTCTCGATACCAGTTGGCCACAATTTCCCGGCGACATGGAGATCTAATTCTAGCAATTTATTTGCCCGATAAACTGAAGGTGTTTTCATCGGATCCTCGAAACGTCGGCGATCCATTAGCCGCGGACGGTTTTCAATCCTAGTCGTACCGTCATTCGTAGAACATTTTCTCGCTAAATTCTAAACTAGTTTAAAGTAATCGTCTGGTTTAAACGGTTCAAAAATCCGATTTTTAACCAATTTTATTTTTAGTGATCCATTTAAAGTAATCATTGAATTGTCTATAAAGTCCACATCGATTTTTTGTAAGTGATACAGGTCTGAATATATCGGAATAGTTGAAAACAAATAACATGTATACATCCCTTAAAAGGTGGAAAGGTTGTGAAACAAAATGGTTGGTAGCGTTTATGTACACCCGAGTTGGTAGTTGGGTATTATTTAGGCATGTGCATGTGCCTCCCTCTTTCTCTCTCGTAATCTTCCATATTTTTCGAGATATTCGGCTGGAAGTTTTCATATGAACGCCCTGCAGATAGCTACGTAAAAATTTTAGGCAGTGTAATGCACTATCGATCGTCGAGCTACAACATGCTCTCTGGTAATACGCCGCGATCGAGGATCAGGTATTAAAAATTCCTTTCTCATTTTCCCGCACTTCACACAGTCGTTATCCTAGCGGATTCCTGGGTGATCTCGCGGTTTCTCGCGTATCCTAATCATAGCGATACGGCGCATTAACTGCATGCGACGGCGACGAAAATGGGGAATTCCGTGCTTGGTATTGACTACGGTCGACGAAAAGACCCCCTCGGAGAGAATAAATGATGCAGTGAAACGAAAAGAAAGAAAAGCGACGGGAGACGAGCCGACGTACGAAAAAGGGGCAGCAGGAATTTAATTTGTACAAATTCTTCGGCACTTATTACGTGGATCGTCGCCTGGCGTCGCTGGAACGTCCATCGTTCCGACGATGGACCGCGAGCGGAACGTCGATTTCTGGCTTTCGAAAACAGCATCGGAGAACCAACGTTCAATGTCGCGAGTCAAGCGGATCGGCCTGTTTTCCAGACGTCCGCTAACAGCCGGCGCAACTGAGCTTATTTGAATTCCAGATTGGATTATCCGTCGGATTTGGATAAATGAGGGGATCCTATCAGTTACCTATTCATGCTGGCACGGGGATTAGACACAGAGACGAGAGAATCGGTTCTCATCCGAGCCGAATAACAAACGAAAACCCGTCATGATCCGCCGAAACTAACAACGGTGGACGAGGATGGAGAAAAAAGTATCGGAAATGAGAAAACAAGATGAACTACAACGAGTAACTTTAACACTAGGTTTACGAACAGCCGTGAAGCGACTGTTTAGGGTAGAATTTAGTAAAGTCAACTATAGATTACAACAACTGCGTACGCTCAGTAACCTCTATGTCTATTGAAAATCTTTGTCTAGATTAAAAGAGAGTTATGATGTTTTCAAATAAATTTTTCATTGCAAGTGTATAGGGCATTCCAAGCATTTCCATCACTTTTGAACCCAACTACGCCGAGTTACATGGTACAATGAGGGTAATATTTAATAATTATATATTTAAAAAGACAATTGTTTAAGAGTATCTAACAATGATAGTAACTACCTATTAGATAGTAGAAATTCCACCCTTTAATTTGAATTTTATTAGAATCGAATCAGACGATTCTACGCCGAGTTAGGCACTTCAAAGTCGCATACATTGTTATAAAAAAAACAATTGTTTAAAAGTATCTGACAATGATAATAACTATGTATTAGGTAGTAGTAATTGTGCCCTTCAAATTAAATTTTGGTAGAATCGAATCGGACAATTCTACACTGAGCTATGACACCTCAAAGTTTCCTATTTTATAGAGAATTATAAGAGAGTGACAGACGTAGTGACCTACTATATATACATATAGCCACGTGTCCTTGCAAGGCCGTTCCAATTCCGAGAAATACTAGTACACATTGTAGTATTTCCTGAATGGCCCGCCCCTCTAAATTCCTTGACACAATAGTAAACATTGTAGTATTTCCTGGTTGGAGAATCCCTCAGAGCTCTTTCAAAGAGAAACATTTATATCCATTTTTCTGATTCCAAATCTGAACTTAGAATTTAGAAATTCAAAATGGCGGATACAACATAACGACACAAAATGCGATCGAGTGTTCAACTTTGGTCCATTTCCACTTTAGAAATAATGTGTTTAATAAATCGTTCCATGAGAATCATAGAAACTTCGATACTTTCATTCAGTACGAATATTCATTGAAAAAGGACATAGAAAGAAGGAAGAAAAATTGGAAAAGCTTTCGATTCGTCCTGACATCTTTAAATAATAATACTTGCGCCAACAACTTACGTTTTTAATCATTGTTATCGCCGTGTAGCAATCCGAAGTTACGTCGCGCGGGAGATCGTAGTTTAAATACTTTTCAGTTTTCTTGTAAGATTAAACTACACCGTCACCAGTCCCTGGAGAACCGTCGGAACGATTCTTGGGGGCACGACGAAGTAACTTCTCGGGTAGCTTTTCATCAAACTCCGTCTCGGCCTTCACTTTTCGATTTTTGTTTTCGTTTCCTTCTTGGCCGGGAGTCTTGGGCGAGGGTTCATGAAATTCCTGTTGCTTGCCAGGCGCGTGTGATTCATCGCAGTAATTTGTTTTTTTCCCCTTCTCCGGCTCCCTGTTCTAATGCGGATACGATTTCTCGTTGCAGCTTCCAGCGTGAAACAAAACGGCGAGGAGGTCGATGACTCGAAGAACGAAGTAGACGGTACGGCTTTGGTGCAATATCCGGACAACTTGAACCTCCGTGATCTTTACTACTATATACTGGCGCCCACGCTCTGCTATGAACTGAATTTCCCCAGAACACAAAGGATACGGAAAAGGTAAATAATGATAGAGCTTGCGCTTCGCTTCGGAACTTATGCGTGGTATCTTCTTCATGCATCTTCCGACTGTTTCGCTAAGAAATTGTCAAGATACATTATTTTATTAATCCTTTGCGCTCGATGTCATTTTTATTAAGCCGAACTCACAACTACGAATAATTTTGCGAGTTTTTGACGACCTTCTTATAGGTACGTAAAACGATTTTAAAAAGAAATTATTGTACGAGTTTAATATTCCTAAAATTACAAAATTTTTACACCGTTTTTCATAAAAGTGAGGTGGTCAGTAATTGTTATTATCCGAATTAAAAGGAAGAATTTGAGGGGATATCTAGCGAGCCTTTCGATCGCTTTTCCCATATTCACCGTTTGATCATTTTAAAATTTCGTAAGAGGATTCGACTCGCATCGCGAGAGTCCCGAAATGATGTTTTCGTTGGAGTGTCGCGCCATATGAAGTTTCTTTTCCACTGCAATTTGTCTCCGAGATTTTCGAAGCCAACAACTGCCAGTGACAAGAAACGTCGTGTCGGCCAGACAGACACGAAGCACTTTTCCGACGTACCCGGTAGCATGCATCGCGAAAATACGTCCGCGCAGTCGTAAGAAAGTGTTCCATGAAAATTTCTTGGAATTCCGGATACAATCGGAAGTACGTGGCGGAAGCACGGAAAGGAATACATCACCTCGCCCCCGGAGTCCATCCAAACCTACCCTACTCCATTTTGCCGACAATACACCACTTAAATCTAATTTCGTGAACACTTCGCTCGCCAACTTTCCCATCTTTCATATGTTTTTCTTTCGATTGAGAGGAGCTGAGCCGGAATAGAAGATGACTTCTTAAGGAAACGTATGAAATAGAAGATACATATAACCATACTTGCTCCTATACTAGGCTGTTATGAATATAAAATTAAGGAAGTGTTCTGGTTTGGGCTGTCAAAAAATAGATAGCCTTCAGGAATTTCTTTTGTAGAAATGAAAAGGAATATCAAAACAGAGCCAATTTTATAACATTGAGTAATGATAAAACTACTTATTTATATATTTTTTGTTTCACATTTGGTTTTATATGCGCTCTCTTAGGATAGGTGACTGAGGGAAGATTAAAAGTTGCATAGTTTTTCTTTTTAAATAAATAGTAAATTTACCTTAGAATTAATTTCTACATCTAATAATTTGCTGACAGTTAGTGAATAATTGATCATGAGCATACTGGGTTGTCTGGAAAGTCCATGTCGATTTTTGGTAGGTGGTACAAGTCTGAATATATAGGAATGATTGAAAACAGATAACATGTATAGGTTCCTTAAAAGGTGGAAAAGTTGTGGAAGAAAATGATTCCTATGCAATTTAATATATATATCAAAATTCAAATGTCACTTTGAATTTTTCTTAAAAATTGTCACGAATTTCCTGGACAACCCAATATTTAATATCTCTATAGTATATCATTGACAACGTTCCTGTACGAATAAATGTTACGTTTGATTCCTCCAGATTCCTGATCAAACGTCTCGTAGAGGTTGTAGTTGGCTGTCAAGTGGTGATGTCATTGTTTCAGCAGTGGATGATTCCGTCCGTGAAGAACTCTTTGGTCCCATTCAGCGTAAGTGTTTTATTTACTTTCCTTTACTTCCTTATTTACTTCCTTAGACAGTAATTGTGAGAAACAGCAGTTTGGCTTTCTCGAGCGCGGTGGAAACCGAACAGTTCTCTGTGACGCGTGCGGTCGGCTAAGTGTTAAGACAAGGCGTTACACTATCATAAAAGAAAAGGTTTTATTTCCATTTGAAAATGACGTGAGTAAAATCGTCATTGGCTCTCCGAGCAGTGCGCTGTGCAGCTAGGTGCACGATAAAGTTCAAACTCGTCTATCATAGGAAACAATTTTCTGCCTTTCTCTCCGGGATTACCGTTCGCCGTTGGTGCGCCGTGCATCACACGTTTATCCCTTTTATTCTCGTCGGAAATAAATAATAATATATCGGTTCGATACATCGATACCGGCGGACGTTATTAAGGGGGCTAATTATTTATAGGGCCGATCGTAAATAAGTCAGGGCTGGCCTCGGGATCGAAATGGCTTCTAAGATAGAGAGAGCCAGTGAACAGAAGTGTAATTTGGTTTCGGCAAATAGGTGCGATCAATCTTTCTCGTAATTCCCCGACCGGAGCTACGATACGCACAAATATATGGCCGACAGAGGCGAAACCTGTTCAATGTTCACCCAACTATACTACCATCCCTGTGAGAAAATCTTTGCCCCGTGTCTCGTAATGATGCGTTTCTACGCACACCGCAGGGTGTATTTTAGCATCTGCGGTCCACACGCATTGGGGATTTGGAAATGCGAAACTATGCTGGTTCCACGCAAATTGGAATTATTTATGGTTCTACAAGAAAATCAATTCTGTAGAGTTATATTATTCATTTCTTTGTGAATTATTTTCATTTTTCATTATCTCGTAGGAATCGTGAAAGACTGTCGCTCTAACCGAACAGAATCGTCCATCAACATCGCAGGACGTTCATTTTTATCGGTCGTGTACGACCGGAGTTACACTCCCGCGCCAGGGAGAATAGCAACAGATAAAATCGCGACGTAATATTCTCCAAGTTGCAGTCTGTCCAAATTGTCCCAACCCGGCTTATCCCGAATAATTTACCGTCACGTACTGATTACACGCAACCGTGTCGCTCGCGATAGGGAACGTAACACGTGGAGGTTTCCCGTGGCTTGCTCGGGAAATGCGACCACGATTTCCTAACAAATGATCGAGCCTGTCAAATATAACCAGAAAAAGAGGGACGAATAGAGCGGCTTAACAGCCACAGGGATGAACACTGATGGGTCGTCAGGGCTATTATTGCGCGTCGTTGGGGTGCAAACGCAACGATGGTTTTTGTTTTTGGTGCCCTGCTGCTCTCACGGCACATTAACGTCGGATCGTTGCTCGATAGCCTGTTGTAAAATCGTGTGATGTGATAACGAATGTTACTCTAATAATACGTTTGTAATCTTGATGTTTTAGCTTTATTACTTCATTAACTTGGTTGTTGTATTGGTTGTTGTTTAGTTTTTCAGGACTTTATCTCGTTTATTAATATTTCGCAATTTCATTATTATTGTAAAAAATGTATTCACTGAAAAGGACTGGAATTGCAGTCGAAAACATTATATCGCGAATTTTTCGACCTGGCCCTATTACTACAATGAGTTTTAATAACGAAAATAAAAGGAAAGAAAGAAGAAAAGAGAGAAACGTCGGCAAGATTGTTTGCCAGTTCCTCGTGTTGTCTTCGACGCAATTGTCGCTCGCGCAACGGTAATTCCCACTGCGTGTAGCTGAAATTGCCGTCGACTCATTACGTGCACGGGATCAAGGTTGTCTTTATCGCGAGGGCCCTTTCGTGCCCGCTCACGGATGAAAAACAATTTCGCGACATTACGGTCGTTTCTAAATTGGCGTCAGTCACGGTAAACAGTGTTTTCAAATAGTCCTCTGGTTGTAAAATCTGTATTCTACCTGCAAAATGTATTAATCATTCAATACAAGATTATTCAAGATTACCTGAATCAAGTCGTAATAACGAAGTTTTAATATTTCAAGCAAATAACAAATAAATGGAATTGATAAAAAGTTCAGTTATTCATCCAAACAGATTATACCTCTTTCTCCTAATGTTTCAAGTTGTAGTTATTTGTTGACTTGAATACTTATCTCTTCAAAAGACATCAACTATGATGTACCCTTTTTCGCTATCACCATGACACTTTTAGAACTTTTTATTAAGAGTAAACTTTTCTTCATTCGGGCTGGAATCGCATACATTGAGCCCGTTTGAAACCCAAGGGAGCTAGCTAACGATCTGACGTATATTCGTTTAATTTCGCGACATTAATTGAAAAATTTCATCGTGGTTTTGGTTGTTCGTTAACGAGGGAAAACGGATAGCTCCGCTGTCGGGGCGCAACCGCTGGCGGAAATTTGCCGCGCGTGTTCGCCAGCTTCGTAGATTTAAATGGATCCTTTCACGCGGACAGTTTTAACCGCGACTGATCCGCGTTGGACATCCGCGGTTTACCATCTATATTCATAGATCGCCGTGTAATGTAGTCTGTTATCTGTGTACGGTAATTGCCAGCGGCTTGAAATTTTGATGGATCCGTTTCGAATCATCAACGATGGGAATTATCTTCTTTATATGACAGGAAACAAGACTTCAACGGAGATGTTTCGTCGAATTTAAAGCAATTCTTTGAATAATTAGTCCAAATAAATAATTCATTGTTATATAGCTTATTTTTCATATAAAGTTGGGTGATTGTCACTAGAATTGTTAGTTGGCCTCGTAACCTTTGCTGTAGGTCTTCCTTAACTAAATAATTCAAAAGTATAGGTATTTAGAAATAATTAGATAGAATCTACAAAACTGTGTATGTATTAAAAGTTTAGGTTATTGGACCATACAAGTGTACTGTGTAAATCGCGGAAACTAATTCCGCCTCTCTAAGTTTTGAAAAATTCAGTCTTGCTATGGATAATAAAGCGGTTGAAATTGTACGTGGCAGATAAATACTTTAGCGTTATTCGATATTTTTCAAATTTCTGTACGTGGATTTAAAGTTGTCAATTTTCAATTTTCAACTCATGAAAAAGCGTCAGTGTGCTCGAGGGGCGTGTCCAGCGGACGCGAGCGCAAAAAGAGACGAAAAAAGTAGAAAAGAAAAATGCGGAGACGTGATTACAATGCGACGAACAGTGGCAGCTGCAGTTATCAATTCCCACGGATCCGCGCGATTCATCGGGCGGGAAAGCAATATCCTCGAAATCGATTTCTTCACGGCCGGTGTCTACGGTCGTCGCAACGCCGACGGTCTTCTCGGGACAGTGATAGACCATCGCGAAGTAGATCGAGAGACGGAGACATTTTCCCCTGCCAGCTGGCCAGCCGATCGACGACGTGACTGTCGTCTCTGCCATCGTGATTCGCAATTATCGAATCCAATTTGTCCGTCAGAAAGGCGAGTTCGGCGGGCGGTCGCGAGCAGGAGGCGAGCGGGGGTGGCGAGAAAACGTAGAAAAAGGGTGGAACGAGCGATCGAAGGCAGAGAAAATGACGAGGCGGACGACGTGGAAATGGATAGAGAAAGAGCTCGTCACCCCGGAATTAACTCTCGTGCACCTTGCACGGTAATTACTTTGCGTTCGATCGATATCACGAATCCGAACGCGAGCCTCATTGTGAGCGCGGAAAGAACAGAAGAGAACAATAAACCGATTCAACGTTACGTTGAGCATAAGTTATGCAAATAGTAGTACAGTGTTATTCTTCTAACAACAGTACACGGATCACCTAGAAGTTCTGATAATAAAGGTCGCTAGGTATTCCCCCCAATTCTTCCTTTTAATTCGGATAATAAAAGCTAACGTCTGGAATCCTAAAGCTGAGCATGCCTGCGCGTTCTGCCTAATATGGGAAATTCGAGAACCTGAATGTTCTGATTTTTCTAGAGATAGTGTTACTTAATAAATGTGTAGGCTAAGTTTTTCTATATTAGTAACTTACTTATGAAATTGATCGGTGTACGAATACACTCTACACCCACCGTATGTGTCGCAGTGTATTTCAGAAAAGTATGCGGAACACGTGGCTTAGCTAATCCATCCCATAGTATACCGTCGGCAGTGTGTTAACAAATTTGTTTCTCTTCTGGTCCCCTCGCCAGTTGCTGTATTCCCTCCAGGGTGGTCTCGAGCGAGTTGGAGAGGATCTCGAACGATTTATCGAGGACAATTTGTCCGCAGTGTGAAAATCGTGAACGGGGTAGCTGTCTGCCTTCGGTCCGCCGTGATATCTCTTGCAACGTCTTGAATGTCGCTACTTACGTCGATCTCTCGTCGATTCGACGGTATGGAAACGCTTAATAATCGGCTGACGAGTCGCCGGGGGAACGAGCTGGTTTCTGAAAGGGATTCGAGGGTTGGGTAAATGGGGACGGTGGTCAAAGTATCTAATAGTGAACGCGCAAGTTCTGTCTCCGAGGGAAAGCGGTCTTGTTGTTACCAAGTTTCGCGACGAAGTGTCCGGTTCTTGCTGTTTAGTGTTGCGCTTCCATTTGGAGCCCCAACCGTCATTCATAGAAAAGGGAAACATTACGCGGAGCTGAGGCGGTGTTTGACACGATCGAACATCGAAATTAGAGGGAAATGGTTGAGAAACTTACCACAAGGTCCTCGCTTGGGCCTCTAGCTACTCGTAAATGCAGTGGAGCCTCTCCCATCCGCGCTAATTGGGAAACAAATGTGGCCCGATAAGATATAATAGAACAATCCTTTCTATTATATTAAATTTCAATTTATTCGAATACACTGGGCAACAAAATTATTCATCAAAAGCTTGGCATTTTTCACATGCGCGTAACTCCGTTAATTTTCATTGTATCGAGACAATTTTTTCTTATTTTCTACGTTCATTCGAGGAATCGCAGAAAATTATTTAACGTAATTCATCTTTCAACTCAGTACTCCCTCTTTCCTTGTTATTGGACTTCACGCCTGATTACATTCTTTAATTTCAGGGGGGTTCGTTACAATACTGTCTTCTTTTCAGTTAACAATGCAAATTTATCTCCTTCCCGTTCGTTGGTTCCAGTGACGAGGGACCATTGAATCAAGATTACAAAACAGGGTAGCCCTGTACCGAGAACTAAGTTAAACTTCGCGTTACCAGCTATCAACAGCATCGACGGGAACTTGTTACCATTAATTAACGTGAAAGCTACGGCCACTGTGGGTGTGATTAATAAAGTTATGGCTGGCAGTTGTTAACCCATCGTTTCTTCGCGATGGTTGGATGGGCTATAAACGTTGTGTCTGACAAAGAACATTTTCATTGAAACGTGCTATTTCATATTTATTAAAAATTCAATCTACTTCGACGTATATAAGTTTTTTAGGTTTCTGAACTGAATAACCAAACGAAATCTAAACATTTTTAAAGAAACTAAAAACGATGTTATGTCGAAAACCACTATCTGCTATTAATTTGTTTGGATGTAGGTAGATCAGGCACCATTTATTTCAAATAACATTTATTTCAAACAATCATCGCCACCAAAAACTCTTATCTTTCTCCTGAAAAATGCTAAACTCCTGCTCCCCTCACCTTATAGTTCCTTTAGTCAGTTGCGTTTTGGAACTTCACCATCACATCGCGTACGATCGATTCGTCGCGATTAGTTCCCTCGAGAGCACGGCGATACTAATTCATGTTACATATCGTTGAAAATTTACTGGTCGTCGACGGAATGCAAATGATCGACGTCACGTTTCGCCTATCTTTCACGGAGTTCCACTACACGGATGACTTCACATTGTAGGGCAATCGAGCGATCGAAAGGTGACGACGAGGTTGCGTCGAGCGTCGTCTTATCGGCTCGACGACGTGCTACTCCTTAAAAGGATGAACGTTTAAAGGATTTTCAAGGATGTCGGAGGATGAGGTCTCTGCAACTCGGCTGCTCGCACCCTCGAGGCCGTTGACGGCGAAACGGATGAAATATCGTATCGATTTCCCATCGTGAATGCTCGTAAACTCTCCGCTATTTTCCCTGTCTGTCATTTCCTCTCGTTTTTTTTTTTTTTTGGGATATCGTACGGAATCTTCTTCAGGGACCTGAAATGCGCGGCTCAACGAGCAGTTGGTCGGCGGACAAAAAAAAGAAAACCCCGTGGTTTTCTCTACGTTGGCGTTGGCGGTGGCTCACCGGTTGGTGTGTTTTTATTTTCATCGGTCCTTCCTTTGGCCGGAGTGTTTGCAGGTGCGCGGTCAACGTCGTTGTCAGAGTGGAATTTTCTGTGTGTCGGATATTGGTCCAGTTACTCTCGGTTGCATCCTGCTCGAGAAAGGGGATGGCCAGCTCGATATGCGACAGGTAAAAGCGTTTCGACTACTTTCGACTGAAAAGTCGATACGTCTTGTCGGCTAACTAACGTTGACAGACGCCTTGCTGAGAACTTTGTTCTTGGCGCATGTTGCAAGGGTACTTTTCTAGGTAGCTTTCTTCAACTGTAATATATTTTCCTCATATACTTCATATACCATACTACATTATACATATATTATATATTAATGTAATACACAAAATACACAAATGTAAATACGTATATTATTCTCAAATACGGGGTGTTAATTAATATATTCTAATGTATCTTAATATATCTTATATCTTGATAACGAATCGTCTTATATTATTGGCATATTATGTAAATTGTAAATACTACTTGTTTTTACGTTTTATTATATTACAACACCACGCGCACTCTTTTATATCGAGTTAAGTCCGAACGGAAGTAAGTGAAATCAACGTTCGAGATTTCGTTCCGCTATTTAAATCTGATGTCTAAGATGAAATTGGCGGATAATGGTTGCGAAAGACGACGATTTCGTGCTAAAGAAAAAGTCCGCGAAGTGAACGAGTCGCGACGCAACATACATCTCGGACACAGTTCTGTCGACGAAATCAAAAGTGGAAAAATTGTTTAGTGTTGGAACGTAACAACGAGCGTTGTTGCTCCTTTGACGAGCACCGAATGCCTCGCATTGCAAGGGACCGTGTTCAATTTCAGTGACGTAGACAGCGGCGCCCAAGGTTCGAGTTACGACTCCTTCGAAGTCGAGTGTCCACGTTCTCGCCCGAGACGGCTTATTATAATCCTTTGTGAAGCCTGCCATGGCTTCTCTGACGAAGGTTTCTGGCCTTTGATCCGACTGGACGATCGATCACTGTGCAAAGTCTCACGTCCGCGGAAAAGCAGAAGGGAAAGACGAGGAATGAGCTCGATGCACCGTGTCACCTACGTGAGCTGTTTTAGACGCTCTACGCGCACATTTAGTTTCATACTGGATCATCCCACAAATAGCTTCATTCTTTTCGGTAGGATTCAAGCTAAGAATGAAGAAGCCTGTCTACCGAGTTAATTCCTATGAGGGCCATTCAAATATACACCGGAATTTTTGTACACAACTTTATTGGTGATAAATATAAATACAAATGGAGTGCCTTATTTTTCTACATACTTCTTCATCAGACGTGAAGCTTTCTAACTTCTTCGATTACCATCGAATTTATAAACAAATTCATCGTTTGAAATGCAGACAACGATTCTGTGAGTGACACTATTCCCTGAAATCAATTAACTTCTTGATGAAAATTTTAATTTCGCGATCGAGGCGAGCAATAAAGCGTCAAAGCGATCCATAAGCATCTCGTAATGTACGTATTCGGGTGCTTCGAGCATGCTGTGAACCCCCCAAATTGAAATATCATATTCCGGGTTTATAACGAACGTGCATCAAGTACTGTAATTGCGGATCCCAGAATGCGTATAATTATACATAGTTTCATTTTAATCTCCGAAACATTCGCGAAATTTCCGTCTCCGAAGCGAAATCAAATTGCGCTTCTCTTGCACGTATCCGTTATACGCGACCGCGTAACTAGAAATTTCTATAGAAAATATACGCGGTTGGATCAGTGTTTCTCTACCTATTGAAAGTTGTTGAGCATCATTAGGAGTGTGTCAATTGTACGGAGCATCGAAAAAGGGAACGTAGGAATGTATATAAACCGATTCACTGCCAGGCAAATTTAAATCTTTTGCTTTGGGCGCGAAGATTTAATACAGATGTGCAAATCTAGGTTAATCGTGTTTATTTAATTAACCCTTTACAGTTCAAATTTTCGGATTTCAGTACATTTTTGTTGAGCCTCATCCGACATAGGAACGCAATGGGGTTCTAAATATTACCAATTCCAACACACGGTTCCCTTCGCGCCAGATAGCCAACGCTCTTTAACTAATATATTCCTGTATTGCAGTCGAACTCCCCTAATTTTATTTGGTTGCGGTAATCTCTCGAGAATCTAGGTACAAACTATATGACTTTATAGAAATTTCGCATGGAACATTTTGTCTCTATCAGCAAACAAGAAAAATGGTTACATACATTTATACTTTGTACAAATTAAACATAGCCATATTTAAGAAATCTATGTGGTTTTATAAAAATTCCGGGAAGTGTATATATTTTCATATGCATTCATAGATGCATTTCCATATCCCCTTCAGAAAAGTATCAAGGGCCTCGGGATAAAAATTTATTAGTTTCGAGGTTATGAATTTTGTCTTGAACGTTTTTATATTCGATATTCTGTGGAGCATCCGAACGCAAACTCTGCGGTCACGTATGCATACACGTATATCGTAGTATGCACGCAAATGGCATGTTGAAATCGACAGGAGGCTCTTTATGTATTTATTTGTAAGCCCGGTACATAAGCGTGGTGGGTTCTCGTGTTGTGCCATTCGAAGAGACCCCGACAACCGCCACTTAAGCGAAACGCCGCGCCGCGTCGGAGGGGTGGCTTCCTTCCCTTGTATTCAATTAGTACACCGCACGAAATATCAATTTCTTCGCTGGGAAAGCTCCTTCGACGTTTTCGAATATAGGGGAATAAGGGGATACCTTCCGGGAAATGCAAGTATGTCTCGTGCATTGTCATTGAACTGTTGTTAATCTCCGGGTATTTCTACGTCCTATTATATAGGATGGCCCGTATAACCCTTTACAACTCGGTGTCTTGGAAACTATTCCATCGATTTTAATGGTAGACGTCTCGAATTGTGTGAATCTGGAGGGACTTTAATCTGGAATGTAGGTTTAAGGTGGTTGTTCCATGGATTCATTATGGGGGATTTTAACAAAACTTCCCTCGATCGTTCTTTGATTGAATATAAATTATACGAGTTCACCGCACGGTGATCAAGATTTTCAGAGTATACGGATGTAAAAACGATTCAAAACACTTTAGATATCGGTGAAGAAAATGTTTGTTCCTCTTACGCGAGATCTTTAATTTCTATTTCTTAGAAATTTTATTCAAACTAAAAATTTTAATTACGTGCTCTCATCGAAATTATAATACCACAACTTCTAATATTTAATGCTCAGTTTATTTATTCATATGTTAATTATACTAATTAATTTATACTGTCAATTTGAAACATTAACATGGATTACTATAACGACTCTTTTCAGTGTTCTCTAAATAATAATTAGCACGGATATCGTTGAAACATATCGTTGTATGTTCGAATTTCCTCAATTGTATTTATGACATTAACTTGCAAGGGCTTGGTCGTTAATTACCTCCGGTTTTTTAATTACGAGGCTACTTATTTCTCGTAATCACTGCGCGAAAATTTCCACGCGAACTGGCGAATTCAAGCAACATATTCCACAGGTTCGAATCCAATTAGGAACTTTCGTTTCGTGCCTCCGTTACATCGAAACCGCCCTTTCCAGGACCCTCCAACTTCCATTTCCATTGTATTTATCGCTCGCGTGCCTCCTACTCAAAATAATATTTGAATTTCGTTTGTTTTGTAGAACATGGACGTGGCGAAGGCGTCGGAACGTCTGCTCAAGCTGGCTGTGAGTATAAGAGAATTTATGCTAATCAAGATAGTCGTATACAGCGGTTAATACGAAAATGATAACGGAAATCCTTGTTCTTATCCAAAAACAAGTTTCTCGACTTATACAAATCAAATAAATTAGTCTTGCTTGTTAAGGTTCTCATTTTTATTTCTTCGTCTTGTTTACTGTTAATTAATAAATAAAATAATAGTAGACAAGTACAAATTAATAACAGTTTATTGAACAAATAATTAATATCAAAGAAGCAAGGAAATTCTAACAATTCGAACTCTGATTTATTTGAAAAAATAATTTAATCAAATTTCATATTTAATAAAAAAAACTTGTTACTTTATCGAAATGAATTCGAGTTTCAACGTAACTTTTGTATCGAAGCCATAAATAATTATTTGAACGTCGCCAATTTGCCTCGTTTCCCTATACAGGTTAATTAATTTTCGTACAAATTAGTATTCACAGTTGGGACACGTAAATACCGTTTCCGTATGAGAAACGCACCGCGCAAAACCATTTAATAGGTTTAAAGCGGGTCGCCTTTGATAGGCTTTCCTGTTGAAAACGCGTCCGAACGCTTTGCTATCAGGAGCCTATTCATAGCCTTTTTAGTTCCAGCTGCCTATCGGAGCTTGTTAACACATTGTTGACCACCTAAGAGTATACTCGTGTTTTCATATTTAACGTATGGTTGCACACGTTAAATAGTGATCTCGCAGAGATAATATCGCGTCATGTATCAATTTGAATGAGAACGAACTAAAGACGGCGTCAAAAGGCAATTACAGACTAAGATCAGACGGATTCCTCGAGCTCTACGTTTCGCTCTGGTTTGTCTCCCGGGTTGTCCAAGGAAGAATTTCGAAGTTATATCGTTCCGAATGTTTTCCTCTAATACGCCCTGGAGGGAACCTGTGCTTCCGTCGGCCCTTTGCGCGCTCCAAAGGACTTAATAATGTTTCCAAGTACAAAGGTCAAGTCTCCCATGCCGGGAGGCATTCGCGGCACTTTTATAGAAAGGGAGACGGAGTCACCCTTCGCTGTCTCGTTTCTTTTGCCAACCCCTTTCGCCTTTCGCCACACCAGGCTTCAGCAACGAGTCCACGTACTCCGCAAAAACTTACCCCGACGTTTTAATTTCGTTTACCCCGGCATGCTGCCGACGCGACGCTACGGTCGAAGGGAAGCCAAGAGGGTGGCAGCTTGTCTAGGGAGAGAGGGGTTGGATAAAACCTGGTGAACCGTTTGAGACACGCCGATGATACCACAAAGGAAAAAGCGGCAACGTAAACTTTCAGCCGACTTCCTGGCCAGAGGCTATCTCGTAACGGAGCGCCTTCTACCTTCAACAAGAGCCTCCTCCCACGAGGAAAAATCTTGGCGGATGATATGCGACACTGTAAACTGTAAAGCGAAAGATGAGGGGAATTTGAATTTTCTCGGCTCGTTTGCCCCGACCCGTGCTAGCCAACTTCTCCTATTAAAGGTCGATTTTTCAATGAACTTCGAACTTTGCCACCGCTCAAAGCGTCTTCAACCCTTTTTTGCTTTACGGGACGAGTGTTGTCACGGCGTTCTGGTTCAGGTGAAAGGGACGCTGATACTGGGTCTGATACGATTACAGTGACTCGTATTATTATAATAAGTTGGTGCATATGAAATGTTGTTTTTCCAGTGTTTCAATCACTCGACCCAGTAACAACCATTTTAGTCTATTCTGTCATCGATTGATTGTAACCATGTTAAAGAGGAAGAAATACAGTCAGTCTCATAAGTATTCGTATCCTCTATGTCTATGAAAGAAATTTATCGAAATTAGATGATAGGTTTCATGTTTATATTTCAAACGAATATTTTATTATAAATACATAGGGTTAAATGAACGCGGTCGTAAAACGATATTCAAACAATATCCAACGTCTACTCGAACGCGTTGTAATCCTGAAAATCTAATTCAGAGTGTGTCGGTAGTATAACGATCCCAGCGAAGGATAGATTGCTGATATCCACGTCTCGTATCACGTTTTCCAACGAGAAACAATGACAAAGCGATCGAGCAATTTCGCCGCCATCGCGAGTCAACGTTTACGAAGTTTGCTCGATTCCACCCTCCAGTTCCTGATTGTTATTCTTACCTCCCGTTCTGTTCATACGATAACAGCTACTTCGTAGATTACACGAGGGGCGCGCAGACCCCGTCGCTGTAAATATTGCGCGACGTGCTCCCGGGAGGCTCGGGATTCGCGAAAAAAAAGAACGTGAAAACGTCGTACGTGGTACAGAGGGAGCACCGATCGAGAAGAAAATGGAAAATATCGATTAGCAGTTTAATATAACGTAAACTTGGATAGACGAACTTACGGCAAATCGTTCGCTGATTTCGTGCCGCCCTTATACAGGGTGGGTCGAAAATCCTATCAACGTTTTGGATATTCCCTGGATCACTGCACATAAAAATTATACAGACATTTGGATTTTTGAGGTAGTACACCGGACCGAGGTCTGATTTTATTCGAGAAAATAAAACCAAATCTTAATATGAGAATTGCATTTTCTCATTCGTGACTTATACACATATTTGTTTCAGTCAATTTTTATTACTGTTCATTTGATAACGTTGGCATTAAACCTACAAAAAGGGAATACATTTTTGTACACAAGAATTATTCATATCAATTACAGTAGTAAGTCTTTAGTAGAGCCATGGTGTATATCATTGTACTTCTTCCAATCGAATCATCATTACACATGGCATATAACTTGTTGCGTGCTTGCAACGTGTTTTTTCCCCTTCAAAAGCAAAACAGCAGAATACGACGTTGATTTTCCATTTTTAAATCAATAGCAAATAAAAACTACACGATCGATCGATCCAATATTTTTACTGCAGGACAAACCAAATTCCGAATTTGAAATAACACTATCAAATCAACAGCAACGAAAATATTTATTGCTTTTGTTTGTTAAATTGAATTTGTAACAGATGAAATAATAAATTAAAAATTTATTTATTACTTTGTAGGCACAGGTATTTAAAAATGTTTAGAAAGCAAAGTTTTTTCGAAAATGTTCGTTTCGTAAATTTGTCGATTAACCCTTTGACTGTGAAGGACGTGTACACCTATATATCTATATGCCCTCGATAAATGGGCTCAGAGAAATGGTTATATTCGTTAAATCAATTTTTAAAAATATATCAGCTTATAGGGGATGATGGGATGGAACTTTTTTATATTCACAGTTTATTCATAGGATGGCTAGTTTCGAGAATAAAAATTGAAAAGTTACAAATTGGTGGCAAAGATTGAATTTCAAGGGAAAGGTTTTCGATTTTTATCTCTGAAACTGAGTGGCTCAAAATACGCCAAAGCGTAACAAAATTAATATAAAGTCTCGACGTGTCGCTAAATTGCGTATTCGCCTTAGGTCGTGGTGTTCAGACCATGCCTATGTTCCCAGTGCCGTGAGCCCTTATTTTCGTTTACACCACAAATAGCTCCGAGGGATCGTCGCATCGGGGAACCCCGTGACTCTCGAGGGGTCAATTGCGGTTCTTATATACGGATCTGTAAGATACAGGGTGGACTCAACTCGGACGAAGAAGACGACGACGGTCTTAGGAGGGATGGTGAAAGGCAGAGGTAGAACTGCAATGTAGGGGGAGACTTTAATCTCGTCGTAATGGGGAAACGCAATTTTCATGCAGCCCGCTGCCAACGAGGTCGTTTCCTTAAATCGATCTGCTTTATACGAGCGAGTCCCTTCTCTCCGTCCACTTCGTCGCTCGTTTCGAAATCTCTTTGACGCGCGGCTCCCTCCGACGAAAAAGATGTGGCAGGTGACAGCGAAGGGGGATATACAGAGGCCGTGTGGCAGCTTCCATTGCTCTTTTATCTGGCCAACCTTGCCTGCAATGTCCCGCGGAGATGCGGAGCCCGTAATGTGTGCTTTATGCATATATACCCAGACCCGCTAGATCGATTTCCATCAATAATGCAGACATATTGGATTCGAGAATACGAATTTGTATGGCCAGGTAGATGAGTCCGTCGAATTTCCGACGCGTACAACGCCGACCGTATACTTACATACAAATTACATTTTAATTTTTTTATCTCTACATATCGTGGTTCACCTTTCACATATGAAGTTATTCCAGACGTAATTTTGTGTATTTTCGTTTCGTGAAAGAAAAGAAACAATTTTCTTATAGGGGAAAGGGGGGGGGGGCCACATCGGCCACATATCGAGTATTACGAAAATATGTGTAAATATGTATATTGATTTATTACGAACTTGTGTGAGAGCAGTAAAACTGTACTTTTGCTAAAGTTTCCAATTATATTTTCGAACGTGACTATTTCGAAATAACTACCTTAAGAATTGAGATAGATAGTCGAAATTTTTAGGGAATTTCTGTTTAATTATTTCAAAGCATTCAAGACCCTACGAGCACTACAATTCGAAAGTCACTGTTCTAAGAATCATCCTAATAAAACACATACCGTATCATTCGTTTCAACAAAGTCCACCCTTTGTTTTAGGGGTTCCTATGTAAGATCCACAATTAACCCCTCGAGGGTCGCGGCGTCGCGACGAACCTCACAGTTATTTACGCTGTAAACGAAAATAAGGACTCGCCACATCGAGGACCCTAGTATTTCAACCGGGAGCTACGATTGTCCTCTCCTTTTTCTTGCGACGTTCGCTTCTTTTCGCTCTCAGATTTTCCCCTCGATCGATGGACAATTATTTTTCTCTCTAGACGGGAGAAAGACAGGTAAACAAGGGGGCAGAAAAGAACCGTCCCGAGAATGAGCAATTCTTCTCGGCGTCGTGACTTATGAGATTGAAAAAGGAGCTTTCGTTACGGCGGACTTGCCTCGAGGAACGCGAATTCTACTCAGATTTTCCACTCGAAGCTTACCGCTGCTCAACGTCGATATCGCTTTCAGCTATGACAGTTATTGGCACTCGTTGTTACGGCTGTCGGAGACCTT